GTGCTTTGTCTGTCACCAGTGGTTTGACTACCCAACGAGAGGTTGTTGAGTCGTTTTTCTTTTTGTTTTAATTGTATTTTTTCTTAGTTTGATCCTGTTCACATTCTAGTATCTGAAACCCTTATTGTTGCTAATGCTGTAGTTAGGATTTAGTTTGTGGAGTTACTTGTTTTTTGTTTCCAGAGTATTACTTTTGTACCATGAACAGTGTGTCATGACTTTCTGCTTGTTATCTTTTGTTTTCTGTGCTCCATTTTCTAATTCTAACTTTAGAATTTGTCTAAACTCTGTGTTGGGATAAAAAGTTAAAAGAACACAGCAGACACTGAGGGATTCAGTTCACATTTATTTCAGCTTAAATACATCACAATAATCCAAATTTTTACAATAATGACAAGAAATTATATCTGATCTATTAACTATTTGTTTCCAACAAATATTCCAACATGTTGCACCAGCAAAAAATCAAGACAAAGTGCACTTTTGCAAATACTCAGTGTGAATACTGCAATAAACGTGTGTCATGTTACAGAGGCTGACACCACTTACACTTAACAGACTAGTTTGTTTCCACTTTTAGCACAATATGTCGCTTTGAATCAAACTTTGCAAATCGGCTCTTTTTCAGGACAGGTTCAGTCGTTTTAAGCTCCCTGTGCTGATTGTCCGACTTCTTACTGCTCATTATTCCAAGACACCACAGAGGGATCACCCATCCAGCACAATTATTTTCTATATTTACCAATGAGTATAAAATACTGTAACTCAGACAGATTGTTGTAGATTCCTGTTTCCCACACCAGAAAACTGACCTTAAAAACCTAAATGCGACTGATTAAGAAGCTCATTTTTGTTGTGTTGTTTTAAAACATGTTTCTAACCATTCATGCCATTTACTATAACTCAGTAACTACATTTTTGAGTAAAAGTAATCTGATACATTTAAAGAAAAGCCTCAACTTGGTATATATTGTTTCCTCTCACAGTTTACAGTTTCATCTTCCAGTTTCTGCAGTGTAATAATAATAACGTTGTACCTGTTTGGGTGGACATTCTGGCAGCCCCGATCCTCACAGATGCAGCTTGTACTGTGTAGTTCACATTCAGCCTACAGAGACTTAAATACTCCTCACAGGTGCTTTTTGTCTGTGCTGAGATTATTTACACGAGCTCCTCCCTGAGTTCATTATCGCAGGTTTTGCAGTCAGTCTGGTGTTTCTGGTTCTTCAGCTTCAGCTGCTGACTCCACTGTAGGTAATCCATAGCAAGAAATAAGGCCCAGTGATTGAGCAAACAGAGGTTAAAGCAGGGACCGAAGTTTTGGAGTCATCTGTGTCACAACACTGAACCCTTATTGTAACGTTGACAAAGTTTCATCTGCTGCCTGCT